CATAGCTGGGACCCTAACAAGTGCTGCCACCCCGAGTCAGGCTGGACCTGGGAACAACAGCTGTTAAGAGTCGGTTTTCACGCTCCCCAAAGCCTCCAATCTCTCGTTCAGAGGGGTTAATACCGGATACAGGTCATCGTCATACCCAAGACTAGCTCTAGCTGTACTGATAAAGCTACAGTTACCTACTTGTATATATATATACGTCTATAATTGTGTATTTGGCCAGCACATTTCAACTCTCTCTTTCTTGTGGAGATAATATATATTGAAAAGTAAATATATATAAAATATTGTTCCGTCCCCATGGTATTCTCAACATTCTTCTGGAGAAACAGATTTCTGTGGCCTTAAGACTCTTCTTCATTTGTGAATCTCTATACTAACACAATGTTTCAGCTAGTACACTCTCCAACCATCCCCAGGTGAATATTTTATTGTATCTTTGGAATTCAGTGAAGAGAATTACGAATATTGTCTCTATCATTCTTCTTAAATGGGATATATTCCTTTCATGACATGGGCGATCGTATCTCTCCACAGCTTCCTGTACTGTGTAACTCTAAGTAAGTATTATGTTTCAACTATCTCTGTTCTGCCAACAATTTAAACAGGCTTGTTAGGTAGATTATTCGCTACTTTCCTTTGTCTCTCTTGCATTCAGTATGTCCTGTGTGTGCCAAATTCTCTAAGCCTTCTATCCTCAATTCGTGCTTCTTTTTGATTCTAAGTATAAGTTTCCATTTTGTTTGCATTTTCTCTAAAACTTTGTCATTGCCCACATGTTCCGTCCATTGTATGCTCAGCATCTTTCTGTAGAACCACATTTCTCTTACTTTGTTGTAGCATACCTATGGACGATAATGGGTATGTCTCCATTCACATAAATACAGTAGTGAATACTGTATGTTGGTCTGCAGTTGGAGATTCATTGTGGAATTCACTTGACTCACTTCTAGCAGTTGACTATTACTTCTACGCGCCGCTGGCGAATCTTATACGCGTTGTTCTTGTCCTAAGTACTATCGTTCATTACCAACCTTCTAGTCAGTTATCAAACCTAGGTTACAACATGCTTGAAGTCTCTTCTTCATCTATGAGGAGATTGTCCAGTTTTCACTGTGATATAGGGGGACCGACATTAGTTAAGAGTTCAATATTCTTTTCTTTGTTTCTAACGAAATTTTCCTGTTTCTTAATATCTTGCTTAGATTTTGGATGGCATCTTTCGCTATCCCAATTTCTCTTCGGATTTCAGTGTCACACTTTCCGTCCTCTGTTAAAACACTTGAAGTTTATATTACATTTATTATATACATTTAGACAAATATAAAAAAAAATCATTTATATTCATTATATAAATTTATACTAAAATACAAACACTTGTTTTTCAATATAAATTTTATTGCAAAAACTTTCACTTGCCTAATAAAATTTAATACATACATGAGGAAGTGTGGATTTGTAAACAGTGACTATTACAGCTAATAATGCAAGACTCTTCGGTAAATAAATCCGAGTTCTCTCAGTCAATGTGTGTTTATCTAAAAATACATACGCTTAAATTCACCTTCATCCCTGCTGTGTGCCAAAGGCTTAAAGATAGAACACCAATTCAGTCGGGTTTCGATCCTAGCTAGAGGCAACCGGACGTCTAACCACACTAATGAGCTGTGATACAGCGAAACAGTCTATCTGTGGATGACAGTATATATATATATATATATATATATATATATATATATATATATATATATACCAGCTATAACAACAATATTGTCCAAATGGTGTAACAGCATGGGATAATTGATCATCCTACAAAATGTTTAATATATAAAAAAAAAACAGTAAACTAATTAAGTTTCTTTTTTCCAAGTTTTCAGCCATCGTGGCATTATTTGTCATCAAAATCACTCAAAAACCCTTTGAGTTATTCACCTATAAAGAGAACAGATTAAAATCGTTTTGTGTCAGCCCCGCTATGTCTTCTCAACGGAGCAATGGGGAAAGGAAAAAGATCATTCAGGCCTTCAGTAATAGTACCAACATTCATACTCTGGCTTTCATCTTCAAAGTTCATTCAAGAACGATCAAGAGGATGGTGAATAAGTTTAAAAAAGGGGGAAGCAGTAGAGGGACTGGATCAGGAGGTCACAACAGCAAGAGGGGTCATCATTTTAACTTAGATCTAAATACATTCTTATTGTTCAAAGTAAATATCAATAGTGTTATGTTATATAATAATAATAATAATAATAATAATAATTACTAAGTTACAGCGGTTAAAAGCTTAATCTTATAATTTGACAACTTTACTGTTACACACAGTATATATATATATATATATATATATATATATATATATATATATATATATACGTATATATATAAGTATACATATATATACGTATATAGATATATATATGTCTATATATATATATATATGTATATATATATACGTATATAGATATATATAGTCTATATATATATATATATATAA